TTTTTTTTTTTTTTTTATAAAATTAGCCTTACTTTAGCAAAATTATAGCTCTCTACTGTCCTAAGACATCAAGAAAGCTACATCTGCAGGGTTGCTTTTTTGGGTTTTGTTTTTTAAGGTGGGGGGGGTGTAACCACTCCCACACAGTGTTGCCATAGGTGCTAAGACAGATCGAACCCAAAGATATCAAATACTTTCTGGGAAAAACACAGATGACTGTAAATTTGACCAAACCAACTAAGATTTTAAAATTGGGACTGACAAATGCACACAGACACAAAAGTACACCTCCAATCAGAAGCAACTCGAATCCTAACATTTGTTCCACCTTTTCCTCCAACAGCTCTTCAGTCTTGTGGAAACTACTGTTGTTCATATAAGGAAGAATTTTCAAAAAGCAGTTCTGTCCATAAAGGACACAGGACCAAAAGATGAAACTACTGCTTTACCTTGATGTTGTATATATTTTTATTTTTCCATTCCCTTTTTTGTTTTGTTTTTTGTTTTTAATGAAAGCACTGCTATCCATTTGCTGCCATACTGTTGCACTGTAAAGAGAAACTGTTTAAGAGTAGGGAAGAGGGTTTAGAAAGCTCATAATCTCAGACAGACGTATGTTTGTGTGTATGCATGAGGAAAATTTACTTCAAAGATTCTTGCTGTTGAAGCCAATTTGGATGCCTGTATTTATTATCTTGATTTGACAACGGACCTCATGGTGGCTGGGCCACGCTGGAAAATTGGAACATTGAGTTTCCTTCTTTATCCTCAGAGGTTTATCAAAGGACAGGTAGCAAGGCAAAAAAAAAAAAAGCAACACGTTCATAGTTTTATTCTGAGAAATACTCATTATACTGAGTTGCTTTCAGGGTTGAAGATTGCTGTTTTTGTAATAAACTTGAAATGAGTAGAGTACACTGGACCATACATTGTACACTCACACTTGCTTAGGAGTTCAGCATTGATTTCAACTGTTTTTTGTTTGTTTGTTTTTTATACTCATTTAGATTGAACCATATAGGATTTTAATAAACTATTAACTTCCTAATCTGCCTTCCTGAAGTCATGTTATTTGTTTTGCTAGTGCGATTTGGAAGCTTAAAGCTGAAGTAGGCACAAATCTGGAAAAGGCAATGTTTTAAATGATCACCTTTCTCCCCTTTGCTCTTTGCTGTTTTGTCAATAACCTCTTTATGCTAGATTCTTGAACAAATAGGCTTGACCAAAGGTTGCCACGTGACTGCTTCTTATGTAGCTTCACTTAACGATACCTTTGCTTGTTGGTGGCTTTTTCTGTCATCAATCCACCATCTGAAGGCACATTTGTAGGTCAGCCAATTGAGAAGACTTGATTGTCTGTCACAGTGGGCAAAATTTTTCGATTGATAGAAGAGCTTAGAGGCGGTGCAGAAGGCTAGTTTCTTGCAGAGCACATTAAAGTACAATATGCTGAATTGTTACTGTGGAGCCTTTGCCTACGTATGCCAAAAATGGTGTCTCCCCCAGCTTTAATGCTTTGTTTGAGCTTTTATTTATTTTTGCAATTGCATGTTTTTGAATGCTATGTGTTTTTGTTTTTTTTGTTTTTTTTTTTTTTGTCTTTCCAAGGTTTGTGTACCAACAGTAGACTTTAGACCTTAACTTGGAAGTAATCAGAATGTCGCAAACACTGCAGCAAAAGTGGGTTTTGTTACAGTCGGCAGTATTCTCATATCTAGTTCACCTACCTATCATCGTGGGGGGGGGTTGTTTGTTTTGTTTTTTTAAGAAGAAGGGAATTTGCCACAGATAATGCTGTCCTTTTTCTTAAACTAACCTGCCATGACTGTTACAGCTGATAAATGCAGCTTGATGACTTCCAGCCACATGTGACCCACCTTTGTCGCAGTGTTTGAGCTTATGTTGCTTCTGTTTTGAATTATTGCTACATATAACCTTATTTTGTTTTAAAAAAAAAATAATAATAATTTTTTACTAAAAGTATTAACACACCACCTGACCGTCTTGGACATTACTTTATTCACAGTTTGCCAGTGTTTTTAACCTTCAAGCACATAATTTTCCTATTTGGGGAAAAAAAAAAATAAAAACAGATCTTATTGCCTGGTTATTCTAGTTGTCAGTCATGTCAGTGATCAGACTAGAATGTCTTTTTGATTTTGTTTTTTCCCTTGGAATTATTGTTGTTGTCCAAATTTCTGAATTAGGGTCCATCTTAAGAAAAAAAATCTAAGCAGAAAGATCAAAAGTGCTGAGCAAACCAGCAGGCCTGGACCTAATAAATGTCATTGTTTGTCCTCTTTGTACATCATATTGATTGACTATTTCAGCGACAAAATGTGTTGAATGTATTAAGTCGAGCATGTAGATTGGTGTTAAATGAGTGCTATTGTCAAAATTTCTATGGTACAAAGAAAACGTCTCATTTGATGTTGGTACTTCAAATCATAGAATACATTTAATTGATGTTGTCAAATTTCTTATATCAGCCTTAAGACTTCTTGCAAGTACTTTGCCCATAACCCTGGACAGATTTAAGATTCATCAGGTTGAAACATTGTAACAAACATCTGTGTTTCTGTAGTTATTCCTATGTGCAGATGGATCCACATACATGTACACGTTTTTGTTTTGTGTTTTTTGTTTGTTTGTTTTCCAGCTCTGGGATAAATGCTGTAGAATGTGCAGTCATACTTGGATTGCAGTACATTATGTGACCAGCAGGCTGTGCCAGTGGACTGTTTGAATGTGACTTAACAGTTTTGTGTTTGGATTCCTGTCACAGGGCTTATTTTATGATGACACTGTTATTACATGATGTATAAAAGTGATGGCTCCACGCTTTCTCAGATTCATATATTTCTGTATAATATTACAAGAAAGGTGTAGTTGGCAAAATCCCCCACCCCGCCCACCCTCAGAATCTGCCTAATGTGTAGTTCTCACTTTAAAGGGAAAATCATCTTTCCTTTATTGCATTTTCAGAATAAGCCAATAAATGTTATACGTTGATGTTTCACCAAATGTGTATTCCATCTTTTCATTTTTAAGAGGAAAGCAGTGAAAGCATCAGTGTAACAAAGACGATACATTTTTAATACAATACAAAATTTTACTTTATATAAATCTAGTAGAATTTTACAGTAAGAGTTCTCACCCCAGAATGAAATACTGCCCGTGGAGCATACTTGGATATACTTTTAGATTGTTAATACATTTGAGTGTTGAATGCTGCAAAGAGGAACCTTATTAACAAAAGTTGGGCAATTAGTGGCTGACATTTCCCGATGCTTGCATGATACTGATAGCAACTAATTTTGAGCGCTCAAAGTCTCATTCACGCAATTGCGCACACATTTATGTAGCACTTTTATCTATTTCTTATCGCTTTGTTTAACACTGACAGGCAGACTTGCACTGTGATGAATACATCAAGGGCATCTCAGGGTTCAATATGTTGCCCAAAGGTATTTCACCGTTTAGACAAAATGAGCCAGAGAATGCTCTATTAAATGTTCTAACTGTTAAACTACCCAATTTTTAAAATATTTATACATAAATATTTAAAACAATTATCAACTTTTATATGTGATGCAGTGGTTAGCACTCACAGCTAAAGATTCTCAGTCTAAAACTGCTGGCTGGCTGAGGCCTGCCTGTACCGACTTTGCATGTTCTCTCTCCACCTGCATGCACCTTACACCAGCAGTCCCAAGGCATTCTTGTTGGGTTAATTGAATGTGAGAGGTGATGATTCTGTCTCCATGTGTAATCTGTCCAAAGTGTATGACACATTTGGTCCCACGATAACTAGGATAGACTCCATCCCTCTGTGATCCCGAACTGGAAAAAGGGAATTGGCAAGATTAGAAATAAGCACATCAGAGGGAGACCTTGGTTTGGAGCTAAAGTTAGAAAGTCAAGGTTTATATTAGATACAATAGGCAAAGGATCTAACAAGTATGTACAAAAAAGAATCAAAGAGAAGATCCACAGAAACAGCACAGGTCGACATGCAGAGGTTTGATGTGGCAGAAGAGGATGTAAGGGATAGACTGTGAAGAAGGTAGATGATCTGCTGTGGCAACCCATAAATAACTACAATGTCTCTAATAGTAATCCTTGATAGCAGATTCACTTTATCAACATCTGGTATTTTTATTGCACTCTTGTGAAGTGTTATTTGCACTCTGCTTGTTCTGCTGTGATAGACCCGAATGTCTTCTGTTAAAAAGACGTGTAAATTAAAAACACTAATGTATTTGTTAAAAGCACATGTTTGAAGTTTTTAGGTTTTAGCCAGTTATAGCAATTAGATAACTCTGTTTTCAGAAATTTTAGTTTTTATGTTGAATTAATGCACAGTAGCTCCCGTTTTCTTACAAATGGCATATTGGCTTAGTAATTCCAACATGTAAAGCTGTGTTCAAGATTAAAGATTTAAAGCTTTAATCAAGATTTAAAGCTACAACTTTAAAAGCTGTGCTCAAGAATACAACTTCGAGATAAGATCAGAAGATTCAAGCTGTATTCATTGGTTACATGGTTTCATATCTCCTAACACAACAAGGAATGAGGTGAAGCAGATGTTTTAAAAAATAGAAATGTAACATCTGTTCCTTGTTATTCATCACAGGATTGGGTTTTGGATGCTTGTCAATCACAATGAGTTATCATACTCCTCACATATTTCAGGATGTAAACAACGTGCAATAAATGTGGAAAAAAAAAAAATCAAAAAGTAGAAACTTGGCAGCTTTTTAATCACACACTAAAATTCAGTATTTTTTGCATTCATTTTTATATACACACAGGATGTCAAGAATCCTGACAAGTTCATGCCCTTGTGTAATTTGTGTATTTTGTAAAAGCAGGTTTATTTATATATATAATGTAATATATAAACAAATAATATACACAAAAAACAACATGGGTATTATTCACTAAAACACACAAAACACACTGAACAATCTATAGCCTTAAAAAAGATACAAAAAACAAACAAACTTGTATTTCATGTTGGAAAGTTTTTTTTCAAAAGGTAAAATTAATTTACAAATGTAGAAGTCGCACACATATTACAAATGGACAAGGATATAGAATACACCGTATTGTAGATTGGGTCAGCTTTCTGTGAATGCAGGTAAAGTGAGATTTGAACTCCACTCACAAACACAAACCTACAAATTGTTATTCTTTGTTCTTTGTTTATTCTTTGCTCTTCATTTACTGGCTAAACATCCAGTCAAGCTCACTGAAACGGGCGAACAGAAACTGATCCTGCACTGCGATGAAATGAGATCTGCGAGCTTGGGGTCATTTCTGTGAGTGTTAGGCACTAAATCTAAACATAAGTAATGTTGACAGAGGTAAAGCTTGGCTTGGAACTGGATCTTCATCCCAGCATGCTCAGCAGAGAGGATGACAGAGCAATGTTCCCTGCCCTCTCGCATTTCTCCTATTTCCTGCAATTAGCTTATCAGAAAAACAATAAGAGGGAAACGGATGAAGGTTAGCAAGAAAGCTTAAAAGAAAAAACACACAAAGTAAACACAAAGAGAAGGTAGATGGAGTTCTTGGGTGCACAGCTATGGCATCAGTGGTTGCTGATGTGTGGACCAGTCGGAAAGTTCCTTGATGTAGTTTGGACCAAATAGATCGCTGCAGTTCTCTGAGTGCAGAGGATATGAGTTATCATCTCCAGGACCTGAGAAGCATAAAACAGCACATAAACACACAGTCATGGCAACAATCATGGCTGTTGTCACACCTTTAATACATTTAATTTTATCCCACTTTTACAGATTGTTACATGTACACATAATATATTGAATTTAATCTGTCAGGCTTAACGTTCATCTACCTAATAGAGCTGTGTTTGTTTGTTTGTTATTCTCATAGTCTTTCCCTCAGTGTTACTCACCCCAAAATCCATATTTATACAAAAATATATAGTACAACACACTTCCTGTTCATGTTTACATTTACTCTATCCGAGTAAAATTAAAACATTTCAGGATGTAATTTAATTTAATCATTAGTTATTATCAATCTCTGACTCTCTTCCACAGTGCATTTCTCTGTCTTCTCTGTATTATTCTAGGGGGTTTACCTTACAATACAAAGCGCCTTAACTGTTGCTGTGATTTGGCGCTATATGAATAAAACTGAATATAATTGGAAATGTTTACATTAAATCCACATACAGTAAAATGCTGTACTGCAGTTTAGTACCGTGAAGTAGAAGGGTTATGTTTTTTCATAACCATTTCATTTAACTATTGACTAATAATACTTTGCAGAAATAAAATAAGCGTCATACAGTGCCAGTGGTTCCAGAGATTGTGTGTTCTCCATCCTCTCTGCTCCCCGGTCTGGTTCCAGAGCTCAGTGTTGTTTAAGTGATCCATCAGCTGCAGGAAACAAAACACTGAAAGTTAGTCAAACAGATATACAGAGCAGCACATACAGAATCAAAACTGCAGCAAAAAGAAATTCCCAGGAAACTGATCTCGGTTAAGTCAAATATGATGTAGTTCAATTACATAGCAATTATTTTTCGTTTCCTGAGGAAAACCCACATGTTTTTGCAAGAATACCAAGACTGTTGGTTTGCATTTGATTAGTTAGCATATTTAAGATATAGTACCTTAAAGACGGCCTCACTCTGTTCCTGGTCCACTGGTTTGGCGTCCCACATCCCTGCATACCAACAAGAACCATCATCAATCTTTTCAAAGTGTCTCTTACATCCAAAACACCAACAGAGCACTTTAAAGACAAAGCATCTCACCCTGTCTTTGAATGCTGGTAAATGTGTTCTCTGCAACAGCTTCCACCTTCTGTGGTATGTCTGTAATGGGCCTTGTTGTTGTGGGTTGCCAAATCTGTGTGTTGTGCATGTCATTAGATGTGCATTCACCTAAACTGGTCTGTCTTTCTCTGGATCGGTCGAATAACCGCAGCCCTGAGAGGAGAGAGAGTAGGACTGAAACATGAGGCCAGTGTTTGCAGGTAAAGTTGGGAAATACACTTTAAGTCTGTATCTTACCTCTTCTGCGTTTCTGTGTTTGTGAGCTGGGCAGCATCCTGTAGACTCTGTAGGCATTACTGCCTCTCTTTTTGCTGTGCTCTCGCAGCTCACAGATGTCAGGCAGAGAATTCAAGGCACAGCGGAAATTTGCTTTCCATGTCTTTGGATCTGGCTTATCTTTGCCTGGATGGTACCGTCCTAAAGAAGCATATACAGAAAGGTTAATGATAAAGTCAGAAAAAGACTGTGGTCAGGTGTGTGTAGCTAGGGAAGTCTGCGGTGTGTATAGTTTTAAATACAGACTTTATTTAAAAGCTGCACACAGCAAAAGCACGTCTTCTAAACCTGCAATATTTCTAATGGCCAACAGGGGGCAACTCATCCGGTTGCAAGTAGCCAAATCGAAAAGAAGTCAATGAGAAACTGATCCTACTCATTTCACAAGTGACTTCAGTAAACATCCTCCTTACTAGGCTATGGATGGCCTCAGTTATAAGTGTCACAGCTTCTTTGTTACAGCATAATATTTGTTTTAAAAATCATGGTCCCAGTTAGAGTGACAACAAAACAGAATACGCTTTAGGGCACACCTTCCTTGTGATTTACTAGAGATAATCATACTCATGGGTGTGCGTAATTATAGACGCTGAAAAATAGTCCAGAAAACAATGGAAGCCAGCTACAGCCAAACTCTTTATACTGTTAAATAGAGTTAAAGGTGTGGCTGCACCTATTAACATACTTAACAGTAATATCACAATTTGGAATGTGTGAAGTCCTTAAAATATAGTCAGATGTGTCTTATAATTAAGGAAACTCAATTTATTAAATTTTGTAAATCAACAGGAAGTACAAGGAAAATGAACTACAAGTCTGATACAGAAATTGTAGTACATGTAGCAGTTTCTTGGTTTCTGATTGAAGACAAAAGAACGTGGAAACACACTGACTGCAATAAAGAAAAAAAATGCTACCAATTTTGTATAAAACAGTGGATGTAAACTATAAGGCCCTGCAATAACCGATATAGGCAATTGCTCCATTATGCTCAAACATTTTTTTTTATTGTGTGGAACTGTGGGGATCAACCTTTAAATGTACCTTTAGATACTAATTATTAACAAGCCAAGTTACTGTGGTCCCACCAATCCACTGTTTCTAAAATCTCACAGCAAGGGCTTTCACGATTTGGTTCTTTAAAAAGTTGCGTAAAATCAAAGTCCATCTCAGACTGTGTACAATTATTTTTTAGTCTAAGATTTGAGAGGTATTTATATTTTCACTGTACAAAAAGCTAGAAATAATAAAAAATTATATTTATCTTGTTGGGGTAAAAATGTGAACTAATCCTGCAATTAATTTTTGGGTTTCAAAAGAATGATTTACGAAGATATTTTTTAGTGTTATGAGTGAATTATTTTGTATTTGTTGTTTTCTTTTCCTTTTCTAGGGTAGGTTAGCTATAGTGAAACAAATGTAAGCCAGGCATATATAAGCATTGCTTCTGCCTGAACCTGTTCAGTCACTTGTCAGTACATAGATAGACTTTATGTGTACTGTAACAATCTCTATTTATGTGATTGCTGAATAAAGTACTATAGTAAAAATGGGGAAGAAAAACACAGCTGTGGCCAGCAAAACAAGGTTTTTAAAGGGAAATTCTGATGTAGTTTGACCAGTGTACCTATGTCACTATGCCCTTTTTGGTTTCCTCTCATTAAAGTGAATAAAGGGAACAAGAAGTAATACAAAGCACATATCAACGTAAGCACTGCAAAATTCCTGAAGCCTTAAAGTAGTACCAAGGAAAGGACCACACGGTAATCTTCAGAGACTAGTTAGTGGTTGACTGATTAGTTTGAAAATCACAGCCTTTGGTTTCAACTCTTTGTAATGACACTAGCCCAACTGTCAATAAAAACAACAAGTAATCAAATCAGAACCAGTGTATGCATAATGTTTGACTTGTTCCCTAGTTCTGCTTTCCGAAATTGTGTTATTACACACATTTAACACATGTTTGTACCACAACATGCCACTAAGGGTGTAGGTCCCCTGTTTGGATTGGAATTTTTTATTTAAGATTACATTTTAATTATATTTACCTACAAATACTTAAAGATAGTCATAGAAAAAGAAGATTTTTACATCCTTATTTTTGCTACATCTTTATTTAATATTCATTGTGTTGATGTGCATGGATGGTCTGTTTTTCAAATGCTTCTTTATTTTACCAATAGAAATGCGAAAAGGACTGTTATCCCTTACAAGCATTTAAATCTCCTTTTTTGTAAAATAACTTTAAGTTAGGCAAGATAGGCAAGACACTCCCAAAAAGTGTAAGATGGGGGGGAAATACATTTTTTCCTCTCTAAATCATTAACAAGTTACAAAATAATTAAGATACTTATGCAGTACTTAAATGTACTCACAGTAAAATTGTTTCTTTGTTTGTAAAACCTTGATCTGTTACCTCTTTATTCTAGTGTACCCATGTTTAAGCATTCGAAATTCCATTTAATTACAAAAGAACTAAACCCTTAATCGCGGGCCCTATCATGAAGTGTTACCAAGATTCTCCATCACCTGGTGCCAGACCAGGCTTAATGGTGAATCGTTAACATCATTCATCATTAACCCTGCTGTCAGGTGACTTCATCCAGTCTATGGTCGCCTTTCTCAAATTTAGCACAACAGTTTAACTTGGCTCTCAGCCAGCCTTCTGAAAAGAACTGTTAAAGTAATAAAATCACCGGAGCTTTAAGATCCACTATGGATCACTTACAGCAGACAAGGGCTAACAGGAATTAAAGGGGCACATGCAGCGGCCACTGAAACCTCCCATTCATCAAGGTTTCCACAAGTCTCATGTCAAAGACCTTTTTTTATTTAAGACATTAACTCCATGTAGCTTTTTATGGTTTGTGTTCAAATCAATTTAGTATTTATTTCACACCGTGTTTTTACACAGACAGTTCATGAATATGTTTTGTCTCTTTTTTAGAGCTTGTTTTTTTTAAGCCTTAATGTTGTACTTTGACAGCAATTCGATCGCTTTGAGCATTCACAGCAAGTGAACTGGAGCTTTCCCATGATGCAGATGCAGTCATAAATCGCAACTTTCCCAAGACGGAAACATGTTTAACACATGCGCACATGCACTTATGCTTCTCTGTGCATTGACCAAAACAATAATGTGGGGATAGAAGACTATGAAAAATATATGTTTTATATTCTGTGAATTGTGAAAACTCTGTGATCCACTAAAAGGAGTGAGGAAAATTACTCAGTGTTATGTATTAAATTACTAGAAGAAGGTTATCAGACTACTCATGAGAAGATATCAGTTAAATGATCTGGGAAGATAACATGTATTAGAATGCTTCAGTTTGGAACTGGAGAGCGTCAGAGGGGACTTACATGAACTGAACTGACATCCCTAACGTCATTGCAACAGCTTGTAGTGCCAACTATTTACCCTTAAAGAGACCATGTCTATGTTTGATTGGATAAGGCTTGTTTTATTTGAAGTTGCCGTCAAGCTCTCATCACTTAGCTGGAAAGTAAACAGGAATGTGGTAGATCTAGAAAGACTGAGCAACACAACCGTGGAGCTCTTCACTGGAAACACTTCTAGAACAGAAGAAACCGGTCTATAGGCAAATCTCATCAGGGTCGTTAAAACAATGATTGCAATGCAATCTAAGTAGCATTTAGAAACTTTGTATCTGTTCTCTAAAGTATGTAACCCTAAAAAAATACATTCCGTGTTGAACATTCCCATGACTTTGTTGTTTTTGTTTTTGCGAATAAAGTAATTATCCTGATCTTTTTGTTAGATGTATATTTTTAGGTGAGCATATCAGCTCCCTAACAGATCCCTGATCAGACTTGTAATAATTTTTATTACTATTTACTGTAAAAACAAATAAATATCTTTATAGTTCAACGCTAATATCAATAAAGCGCTGAGATTCTGTCCCAGGGATTGATTTTGGTAGTTATTTGTGGGATGTTCCTGTGGTTTCTGTTTGTAGTTCTTGTTGCTCTGTATTGAAACACGAGCGTGCAGTGAAAAAAATGTAGCATAAGAACTTTGTTCTGATCAGTAAGAGCGATCAGTACAACAGATGGATGATAAAACAGTCTGAATTGAGCCGAGAAACAATCAGATGAAACAAATCACATAGTGTCAGTGTTTTGCTCTTACCTGTATGCATGGCCCAGCTCCGGAAAAGGGTAGCATCTCGCTCAATACTCCAACCATGGCGAGCGGCATGTTTCCATGGGATCTGGAAGATTCGTGCTGACTGTTGAATGAAAAAGAAAACAAACTGTGATTTGTTGTATTATTCCCAGGATTATTTAAGAATAAATGCCTTATTATGTTTACCTACTGTGATTTTAACTATAGGAAACTTTCCAAACCCCAGTTGTATTTGTATATGTGTGTAGGTGTATGTAGATATGGTGGTAAGAAGAAGGTGATCTACCTGGTCCAGCCAGCTGACTCCTGGATACCTCCCAGACTGAATCTGTTCCTCCAGCCACGGCCTCAGCCTGAGCCGGCCTTGTTGTTGCATGCTCCAGTCTGTGCTTCAGGTGAGTGGAAAAGGTGGTCAGTACAAAAGCAGGAGTTTCAGCAATAACAGAAAATTTCTTAGGAGCTCAGATTAAATCAGAGGTTATGCTGGGACACCCTTCCTACCTGGCTGGTTCTTCCAATCAGAAGACTCACAGTTAACACGATCCTGCTCCTCCTCCAATAGTCTACCACACAGGCTCTTCCTGTTACAGAAAATATTGTATACTGCATGTTATTTGCTTCAAGTGGAGTTGAATTGGAATAGTGCGGTTATAGGTGGGAGGAGAGTTGTAAAGCTGCTTGTACAGGTTTTTTAATCCTTTTCCAATAGTTGAATATAGACAGAAAAGCTGGTTTATTAACCAGTTGTTTACAGTTAATTTAAAATAACTTGTATAAACATGGGGGAAAAGGTAAATATATATTATGTTTGCATGATATGTGAATTTTTGTATATGTCAGCTGCTGCAGAAAGTCAGTGTCAGTATATTTTTTATTTTGGCTTTATTAAGTCACAGCACAGTTACTAGATAGCATCTATTCATGTTAAGACCACAAGGTGGAAGCACAAGCAATGGTGTAGTAATGGTGACGTTCCCTTACATGTTGCAACAGGGCCTCGACTTTTTAGTGTACATGTTCAGTACAGTTCAGTTAAGCGTGAACATTTCTTTTAAACCTATGCGCCCACCACTAATACTGAGCATAGCCACACACATATACATACACACAGAAGCAACAGGATACAGAACACACACACACACACACACACACACACACATATATGCACTATGTAGTATAGAATATAGTGACTTTCACTCACCATAAATGCTTGATGTCTTTATTTTAAGTAGCACATAAACACTAGTTTACATTAGTCCACTGTCATGTTTAAGTACACATATTTACTACATGGGGATCCAAAAAGCAAATAACATGTATCCTACTTAAGGTATATACTTTTGAATTGTATTTTGCATTATGGTCAATTCAATTATGTATAAGATATAATCTCAAAAATGCATTACCAAATTTCATTGGTGTACCAAAGCACACAGCGGACAAAGCTTGTTGTGGATCATTCAAACCTGTTTGTCTCGTTGAAGGAAACACAACTCAGAAGTATTCACATTTATTTGAACTTTTTTATACAACAGAAAATTATTAAGATTCACATCACCCAAATACAGAATAAAGTTGTTTCTTTCAGTTGCATATATTAAAAAGTAACTATGTTTTTATTTTGACAACTACAACATGCTGAAGGCGATGACGTGTGCTTCTGCGGAAACAGATCAACAGTTCCAAAGAAGAGCAATGAGGAAGTAATTTCATAACTCTGAACAGCAGCCCTGAAGGGCAGATAAGTGTTGCGGCTTGTTTTAGTCAGAGAGTGCAGCCATTTCCAATGTAATTCCTACTTAAAAGGTTTAGACTTAATGGGCAAATTGTCTATCTTTTCTATTCTTTTAAACTGAGATTTAAATGAAAACTCTAAAATGGCTCAAGGGGATTACTGAGTTGACATTTTAGACAGATTTGATACAGCTTAGTCATCTCAGCCTTTATGCATTTAAGGAATCTGTCTTCAAAAAGAAATGCAGAATGACATTTAAAAACAAACGGCAACACAAACCAAACTGAACAAAAAGAAGAAAGAAAATTCACTTTGTTCAATATCAGATGTGGAATGTAGATAAATGATGTGATAGGAGCTGTTTTGCCTATCCCTTTGTAGAAAACAAATACTGAAAATATTAAGGCTACAGGCGCATACTGGTTGATATCTGATATCAGTCATTTTATGTGGAAGTTTCATGGACACTTCACAATTTTCAATCAAAAACTTCAGAAAGAAAGTATTTACAGTTGAAATGTTTTCAGAATGAATACCTGTGGATGCTCTATATTGAAAATGTATACATTTATATGTAAAAGCAGGACTTACAGTGTAAAGATCCCATGCAGTGCAAAAAACAGACACTAATTGGCTCTTGAGTTACAATTTTAAAACCGTATCCAAGTTCAAGAATGAACCATAGGTCACAGTCACAGTGCTACACAGCTTGATAGCCAGCATCTGTAATTATTGGCACAGAGTGGTCAACAGACATTAAGGGGGGAAAAGGTATTTGGAGCTGCCCGCCCTGGACATTGTGGATAAAACCTGGAAAGACTTCACTTAAGATGCTTTGAGGAGTCTTTTTGAATAATTTTTCGTACTCACCATTTCCTTGCTCTAAAAGCAAAATATCAGGTTGTTTCTCCAGACTTGGAAGTGCCTGGTAGTCATCATCCATTGCAAGAAAGCTGTTTGACCCTTTAGGCACACAACCATAACAGGGATTTTCATCACAAATTGTGACCTCTTCACCTAGCTTTGGTTTACCACTGATGACCTCATCAGAGCTCTCAAACTCTGCCTCAGCTCTGGATGAAAATTCACAAGGATCAGATGCATTAGTCCCACTAGAGACAGAGGACAAGCTGGTGTCTTCTTCATATGAAAATGTCCCAGAATCTGCTTTGTAGGATTGATATGGCATGTTTGGTTGCCTTAGAAATGAACCAGAATCCTGCTGAGCAGGAACTTGACAAGATGGTAGCAGCTGATGAGGACAAATTCCCATGTCGCTCTTACTGGGATGGTAATCAGGGACACAAAGCATTTCAGCCTTCTCCTGTGCCTCCAAGTCGCCCGTCATGGCCTGATGTTCAGAGACGGGGATTAGGAGGGAATAGGTTTTATTTTCAAATACAGATGATCCTGAACTGGTGTCATTAGCTTGGACACTACACGGACTGTAGGGAGCTGAGCATAAATCGCTTTTTTGCATATTCATTAATTGTGTAAGGGGACTGGTGGTCACTGGTGATATGGGGCTAATATTCAGGAAAAGTTTAGAAAGCACATCATGAACAGCTTTAGTGATAGGAGGTTCTTCGTTCATAGTCTCAGGGGGTTCGGCATTCGCATAACTGAGATCGGAGGAGCCCGTGCTGATCCCACTGGTTTGCTGAAGGCTTCCACTGCTTGTGTCTGTCAGTGACATCTTCGACCTGAGTAGAGAAACAATTACTGAAACTGCCAGATAAAAATCCTCAAGAAAATATCTTGTAATGCTGATGCATCAATAGAGCCAATACTGACCCCAGTTTACTGTCATCTGGTATAAGGGGCTCAATGCAGATAGTGGAGGTAATGGATGGCTCAGGTTTTAAGACCTAAACAAAAGGGATTAGCAGTCTTAAACATGACGCAGGTCATAAATTCAAGCTCAGCTGTAATCCTGTCAGATTGTGTGAGAAGTACTATCCGATATAAGGTGCAGGGCGCCGTCAGTAAATGTTATACTCAGTGAACTAATTAAGTTGTTTTAGCCTGCCTACCATTGGTGCAAACCTCCTCCAGCCCATGTATTCATGTTTGATCTGTGCTCATGAAACACACGGAAGGGTGAGGAAGTCAGCGAAGAGAGCCATACTAAGAATATAAATGACTGCAGATGGAAATAACACTGTTCTTCTGAGTATAACAGTCCCAACCAAACTGCTATTTAACCTCCTAGGACCTGGCGTCCACATATGTGGACATCACATTTTGGGTTATTTAGACCAAAATACTCAATTTTGCTCTACAAGGGCCTGATATCCACTTACAAGGACATTATGCTGCTACTGTTCTATCAAAATTTTAAATGAATATCTTCATATGTGGCTCTTATTTTTTCCTAAAAACAGATTTAAGGTAAAAAAAACAAAATCTGGTAATTCTTTGTTTTTACATTCATTGAGTCCCAATATGCCCAAATATCAAAGAGAAATTAAAAATGCATGCCGTGGAAGACTTCAGGTCTTAGGAGGTTAAGGACAGAACATAAATCCAATGAATTGCTACTAATGAAGAAGTAATGAAAAAAAATTAATAAAAATTTCCCACAATTATTACTATCAAGTCAGAAGCTTTTAACTAGTGTGAAATATGTCTCACCTGTTCCTTGTTTGGATAGATATTAAGAAAGCTTGGATTTGGAGGTTTGGTAACTACATCCCACCAGTTTATTTTAAACCTAAAAGGAAATGTTAAAAAAATAAATCAACAAAAAATAAAAAAGCTCTAGTATTTAGGAGAAATGTGCACTGGCAGAAAAAACTAACTTTTTATATGCACAACCTACTTGAAATAACAGCCACACATAACAGCGCTTAAGATGACGGCAGCAATACTGAGGCAGATGATGATAACCACGAGCAGGTAGTGTGGGGAGCGAGCTGTGAAGGTAGGCGTTTGAAAAAAGTTGAATGCTTTTTCTATTTGTACAGAAAATACACAACTATGAGCAAACACTACTGTATACAGACAAAAGTATGAATCAGCTTTTGTATTCTTTGTCATTTCCAAAAGCATAAACAAAACCTTTGTGACCAACAATTCAAGCAAAAATGAAAACAGGGGAGAGGATGAAAATGATAATGAAGAACAGATTCAATTTGTATTGTGACATACAGTGGGGCAAAAAAGTATTTAGTCAGCCACCGATTGTGCAAGTTTCCCCACTTAAAATGATGACAGAGGTCAGTAATTTGCACCAGAGGTACACTTCAACTGTGAGAGACAGAATGTGAAAAAAAAAAATCCATGAATTCACATGGTAGGATTTGTAAAGAATTTATTCGTAAATTAGGGTGGAAAATAAGTATTTGGTCACCTCAAACAAGGAAAATCTCTGGCCCTCACAGACCTGTAACGTCTTCTGTAAGAAGCTTTTCTGTCCCCCACTCGTTACCTGTATGAATGGCACCTGTTTGAACTCATCATCTGTATAAAAGACACCTGTCCACAGCCTCAAACAGTCAGACTCCAAACTCCGCCATGGCCAAGACCAAAGAGCTTTCGAAGGACACCAGGAAAAGTATTGCAGACCTGCACCAGACTGGGAAGAGTGAATCTACAATAGGCAAGCAGCTTGGTGTGAAAAAATCAACTGTGGGAGCAATCATCAGAAAATGGAAGACATACAAGACCACTGATAATCTCCCTCGATCTGGGGCTCCACGCAAGATCTCATCCCGTGGGGTCAAAATGATCATGAGAACGGTGAGCAAAGATCCCAGAACCACACGGGGGGACCTGGTGAATGACCTGCAGAGAGCTGGGACCAAAGTAACAAAGGTCACCATCAGTAACACACTACA